AATTTGAACCGGTTATGTAATTGTTTGATTTGTTAGTATCAAAATGACAAAAACAATTTTGTTGGAGTTATTAATATGCTGTGAATACGTTCGATGTATTCCCTACATAAATTGTGTATATTAATTTTTAGAATCCTTATAAATTATTCAATTTCATTTGATATTATCATAATTTCAATTCAATAAAAGCTTTCGTTGTATAGACACTTTTATGAATCTGAATAGAAATGTATCACGGTTTCCCAGTGAAAAGTATCAGATTAAAGTAGTCACGTATAATTACATAGGCTGTTTCCTGGAATCTGAATTGTAGACCACGGTACCAAGTCGACTAGGAAACCTCACACCAATGCTATGAAATCTTCCAACTGAATGAATCCAATTATTTCCATTACATTAAACCCTTCTCTATATTCCCTTTTCAATAATTTAATAATGTTTCAACTGACATCAACATAACAAATATGAATACTAAAAAGTATACGAATTCACTATGATATTGATTTTTATGTTTTGTTTGTTTTTCGAACTGTGCCTAACAATATTTAGTAATACGCATGGCTAAACTCAAAAGTTTCTAATTTTATTTTTAATAACTCCAAGCTCGAGAACCTTCGAACTTTTATTTCATACTAAATTTATTGATTATTTTCATGTCCTAACAGATATCATTTGTTGACTCTTCTCATTATAAATTTCTCTCGAATTGCTCCGTGTTAAACATAGAATGCTGATTTTGACATACACCATCTCAGCTTATGAAGGTAAATATACTCTGGAAACTTCAGTTTGGAGCCTCAACCACATCCGCAAAAACCGCGTGCATGGTAAGATAGGTGGCCGCAAATCCTACCACCAGCTTTCTATTGGCTAATCTCAACCACGTACTTTTTCTACCTTAAAGCTTTCTGCAATCCTGTTCTTGGGCTAGTGATCTCTATTATTGTATTTTTTCTGTTAAATATCATCATATTTCAAATAACATTTTTTGTACTATTAATCATTTTTTCAATCAATAAAATCTTTATATCTTGGAAATGCGAGCTTGTTTCCCCATTCGTAGTTTATATTACAATCCAGCTAGTATTTTTGTTCGGGTTTCTTGGGTTTGGTTTGGTATAGATCTTTGGGGCATACATAAATTTTTGAATTACCTACCCAGACGACCGTTCTCGATGACGTGGGAGTCGTTCCCCATCGAGTTGCACCTGAATAATGTTTATTCTATCCGGGGGCAAGTTTTTCTTTTATGCCGGAAGTCGTAGAATGCATAACGAGGTTGTCGAAGCTGGTTGGACGTGCTTTTATATGGCTGCCGTGACGGAAAAGTACCCCTTCAGCTTTTTGTTTACGTTTGATCTAACGGAATTATAAATTTCAAATAAATTTTTTATTCAGTTTTTCTTCCATCATTTTTAGTTTATTAATATTTTAATATTTTTTATGGGAAGCTATCTTTATTTTAAGACAGCTTTATTTTTGCTTATATTTTAACGTTTCGCGGCTTAGGTTAAGATATATGTGGCTTATTTTATTACTGTAATGATTGGAATTAGTTAGATAAACAGTACTCAAAGAAGATATTATGGTTAAGATACAGAAGGATAAAATATTTCGTATTCGTGTTGCATGGTGGTAGCAATTGATAAAGTTAATGTTCCCAAAAAGAGCAAGCTCTCAGAGCGCCTGACACAATGGTCCTTTGTGTGATATTTGGATGGTAGAAAAAGCCACGTCTTCCACGCTGCATTCATACATATACAGTGACAAATGGAGCAAAAGGTTTGTTTCCTTTTCTATTGCGTATGGAAAGCAGATTTATACCATTACCGACGTAATTTTTTAAAATTTTTATTTCAACGAAGTAGATAGTTTAAAAAAGTTAAATTGATGAGCTTAAATTTACATTTGTGGGATATCTACGCAATAAATTACTTCGAATTCTCATCTGAACTTTTCCAGTACACCATGTTTTTTATTGTTTGGACGTAATTTTCACCAGCTGGTTTATTATCTCCAGTCGTCATTTTCGGTATGTATGTGCGGCATGTTTATCCCTCGTAAAACTGTGGGTGTAATAAAATGTAAACGGGCAAGCTCGATCGCACATATAAAATCAAAAAGGTGTAAATAAAATCGATAATGCAAATAAAATTCAAAAACATTTTTTATGTACAAATTTAACCCTAAATAAAATCAATTTTTAAATTCAATTTAATTTGTTATAATAATAAATGCACACATTCACTAACAAATTTGTTATTGTGTTACTATAAAATTGATAGAAAGTATATTTAAGCTTTTAATGTGATTAACATTAAGAATTTGATGAAGTTTTTCATATATATTTAATCAACTTACGTTGATTAATAATTAATGTTAATTTAAACAACCAATAATGAATAATAATGAATGACGTAAGTTATAACCTAACAATTACTTAGTATATTTAATCATTTATATCATTAAAACATATATTGATTATCCAGGTACCTACATTAACTTATTTATGTTAAATTATTTAGGCCCACTTTTATTATCGTCCTAATAAATTATCTAGCAATTTTAAGCTCTCAGTGACTAAGGGCTGGATTTATCTATCGAAGAAATTTAACAAAAGGAATTAATGTTTCTCCAAAAGTAAGATTTTTGGAAATCACCTTTCATTCTAAGGTAACGATAATGCGATGTGATAAAGCTTTGAATCATCATTAGGCTAAGGGGTCAGGTACAAAATGGGGTGCGGACAAGAAGATGTTGGAGCTGTCAGCAAAAGTAACTGTACTTAAAAAAACTTAACGCAATTCATAACCTTGGTATATGGTGTATTCTAGGAACATTTCTAACTAATACTTCAAAGTCGACGTGAATGTTAAACTGAATTATTTTGTTAAAATATGCATACAGTTAAAGCATTCAATGTCCATGTTGTTTCATAAATCATCCTAAACATACAGAACAACGACCACAAAACCAGCGATAGTACGAGACAAAGCATTATTATAAACTTTAAGTTATAAGTTGCCCCGCACCTTTCCTTTGGATAAAACTTCATCCCTTACTGTTTAAGGGAACCTATTTTAAAATTAGACATTTTGCACTATTCTACGGACAGTACCCCACAAGAATTATTCAGAATTGAGTTTAAAAACATTATAAATTCTTACCGCAATGCTAGTTGCATCTACGCCGATGGTAGTAAAAAGGAGGGGGGTGCCGGATGCGCTTTTGTTGTTCAGCTCTAACAACTCGTGGACCCTCGAAAGTTATGCATCTATTCGGTTTGCGGAATTGAACACTATATTCTAGGCTCTTTTATTTACTCGCATGAATAATGGGGGTAATGCATTCCTTATTATTACTGACACCTTCAGCGCTATTAGATCAATACAGGATTTGTATTCAAGAGGACCGATTGTACAAACAATTAGGGAATTAGTGCATGTCATCTGAGCTTCCGGGCGACAGCCCATATTTGTATAGGTTCCGTGTAACGTCGACATTGTTGTTTCGATGGTGCGGAATGCTACAACATTGAGATAACAATATGTCGTCGATGTAAGGAATCACATTAAATCCTTACTATACAATAAATGATAAGATTGGTAGCTTGGGACCAGAAGGTTACTTTCGGTAGACCAAAGCAGGTTAAGCTTGCTAGGTTCCACATAGGGCACATACACTTAACTTCTCGTTACATATTAAAAAGGGAAGGTCCTTACTGTTACAACATCTTCTTGCTTCTTTCTTCTTATATGTAAGCAATTTAAGTCCCATTAGTGATTTGTCCCTCGTGATCTTTATTAATCTCTCGTCGGTCATGCGGTTGATGTGTTTATTCCATTCCCTTTTTCTTTGCAATCTCGAAAGCTTTCTCGATCCAGAAGTGTCCTGCCAGCTATTTTGCGCATCGCTTTCATCTCCGTTGTCTCCAGTATTTGTATTGTTTATCAGATTTCTTTTTCAGATTCTGCGGTATATGTTAGTATTAGTCTGATTTCTGTTTTATAGATTCTGGATTTAACTTCAATTCCCATATGTGTATTGTTCCATATGGTACTGTTGAGACATGGTACTGTGTTCTTGCTGCCTTCATGGCTTGTCCCCTCACCTCCGTTTCAACATCTCCGTACCCCGATATTTCTATTCCGAGATACTTGAACTTCATTTCCTGCTCTGTAATTTTATTGTCTATTTATAGATTGCATCTGAGTGGTGTGCTAGGTGTAGTCATGACTTTAGTTTTTATCGCTGATATATTGTATTGTCATCTGAAACATCAAATAGTGTTTCCATTGATGACAAAATTTGTTCCGTTATATTTTTAATCTTTCTTTATGAATTTTAACGTCTTTTCTTAGTACCATAGCCGTTGTTCTGACTTTAATTTTTCACTGGATAACTAAGATAAATCGGAAAAATCCAGATAACAAGATACCTAAAAATTGCAATTAAAATCACAATAATAAATCAAAAAATTAATGTAACAAATTCATAGTTTGTTTCATAATTCAAGGTTTGAAAGTTTTATTGATCCAATCCCCCAGCACCTGACTTCAGAATGTTTCCACTGAAGGCTTCGTATATAATACATCAATGTCAATGTTCAAACTTACTTCTAAATTTAAATCCCCTTGTACCCACTCTACATATAACAAAAACAAAATCTTGCTGCACATTGAAAGAATGTTTTTAAACCTTTACAACCACCTTAAATTTTTTTTTCATTATCCAAGTATTCTAAATAATAATTTGGAAAAATTTAAGTGTGGGTTCTTAATTTAAAAGGGTCTCCAACCACCTTGTGTGACCCCAAGTTACCATGGCGCCAAAGCAGTAACCCCGACTACGCAAATCCGTGCATGCGTAGATGGTAATAATTGCTGAAAAAGCCTTCAGCATCCAGGAGGTCTCCCACCACGTCGAGATCAGCGTTACGGCGTCCTTATCACGAGCATCCCGACGTTTCAGTTCAGTTCGCTCGGTGCTACTCCGCTGAACGCACGCTTTCCAACCTGAAACACGGTCGCTGAAAACATCGTGGTCTTATACCGGCCGCGAAAAACATTTTAAACAATTAAAAAAAAAAAACTAATTTCCTTTCTCTAAACAGCATGTCATCACGTTAGATTTCATTCTTTATTTTTATTTCATTTTCCTTGTTAAACACTGAGATAACTCCTCCAGGAAATGTTAAGTGATAATATCTTTTTGACCAACAAAGTTTGATGCTTGTCTCTTTCCACTACAGTCTAACAAAATCAAGTACAGAAAATAATTGTAATGTATTCTTTCCTGTAAACGTCGTATGGACATGCAACGTGGACCCTTGAACGTGAATGCAACAGGTATGTTGAAACGTGGCTTGAATGTAACAGACGAAGAAGGGCATCTATTTTCCAATAGAACTGCTCGGAAAAATACTGTTTTTGCACTTCAATTTTGAAACGCGGGCGTTAAGCGGCTGTCTCGTGCACACGTAACGTACTTTCCTGTACTTTTCCCGTTTTCAACCTTTCTCGAAGCTATTTTCGCTGTTCTTTTTATTTCATGAAATATTACTGTGAGATCCGTTTGCCATACCGTAAAAATTTATCGGTATTAATACGATTCTGATTTATTTCAGGACAAAGATTAAAACGTCAATAAGGTGTTTTTATATTACATATTCTGGATTACATATGATTCATGTTTATTTGTAAATACGATATTTTATAGGTTAAAGGGAAAATGATTTATTCTCATAACACTATATCAAAGAGGGGGAATGAAAAATATCGAACAATTTTATACTTGTTTTGCAATTTTCGAGTTTAGATATTGATTGATCTTTTCATTTTACGTGGTTTAACACATAGTGAAGATTTATAGATGTATATTACATGTTGTGAGATGTATTTCACCTCACAAATAAATTTAAATTTCATTTAGATTTTAATTTACGTTTCAAGGAAATATTATAGAGAAACGTTTTAATCTTCTTTATATTACGAGTTATGCTTTAAAAAGGAAACTGTGTACTACTGGTAAATTTATTTAGCTCTTCCTTCTCACTTCATTTCCGCTGTGTTTGTAGTTTTCCAGTTTTTCCCTTCGTTCACTTTTACAAAATATTAAACCTTTTACTTCGAGTACCCGATTCGGACATTTTCAGACGAATTAAATCATCGTAATATTAGATGATTTATTTCAATTGCAAAATAAGATGAAAAAAAATGTTTTAAATAATGTATAGGATACGTCATTTATAACGTTCAACAATTTGAATAATTTATTGTATAAAGCAAAAAGCGGTTTCACAGAAAAACATGAAACTGGAATAATATTTTGTTGAATTTTTTTTGTTATTTGGTTTACAAATTGAGTTTTAAGTTCACTGCACCGCATTTAAGCAGATTAAATCTCGAAATGGTTTTTTAGTTGGTTGTTTTTACAATTTTAAAAACGATTTATAATTCTCGCCGAACTGTAATGAAAAATATGTGCGCTTTATAAATTTCTTAATAATTATCTAAAAACTTTTCAATGATTACATTTGTGTTTTTGTTATATAATTTGTTTTATGAATAATAATTCCAGGATAATACAAATATAAAAGATCTTGTAAATCTTGTAAAGTAGTATCTTTAAAGTTACATTGATAGTAAAGCTTATTTATCGTTATAATCTTATTGATTTTGCAAGTAAACAAAAGTAGTTAAAAAAATAGGTTGTTATATTTAGTTCTCATCTGCATTGTCTTAAAATATAGAGAATTCATAAATTTAGAATTGTGAATTCGCTGTGATTTTGCGTTGTTTTGTATCACGCTGTATCTTCGTTGTATTATGGGATCCTTTTCTATCAACATATCTGTAGCTTTCTCCCATTTTTAAACATTTATTAACTTTTTTGAAAAGTACCATAGCTGGAAAATTGTTTTCGTTATTTTCATCATGGAACTACTGTACATGAAAAGGTTCATGTGAGCTCATTAAAAATATTATAATATTGTCCATGTAAATTGGATACTATTTTCCTGCAGCTCTTTTAACATCATCCGTTATCCTTTTTATTCTTGCATACTGCGACTGCCATAATATTCCCGAGTGCAGAGTTGCAAAATCCAAAATGACTAATAAAATGACATCTAAAAATTTTAAAATATTTCTGTACTTTTTATTGGTAGACATGTGGATCTCTTCTTCTTAAGTCTCTTAAGGCAAATCGTTCTCTGTCCTCCGCCGTTATTAGCATTAATTGTTAATTTAGGCCAGTTCCAGCCCTTCCCGTTCTTTACTCATGAACACTGTCTCCTGCCCGGATCTCTTCTACCCTCAATTTTGCCAATATATTATAAGATTTAGACATTTGTATATTCTGCCTCTGTAAATTTGACACAGGTAGCTTGTCTTTCATGTTTTGGTAATTGTAAGAATTTCTCTATTAACATTCATTCTTCTTAGTATCCACATTAGCCACATTTCAAATGCTTCCAGTAATCGAATCGATCGAATTTCCAGAGTTCAAGATTCAATCCCATACAAAGTGATTGAATAAAAATTTCCCTCCACAAATCTTTATCTGATATTTAACGACAGTGTGGGCTTTGTTTGTAATTTCTTCACGATGAGGAATGCTACTTACATTTTTTATACGACATCCCACTTCTATTTCCGGATTCAAATTCCTTACTATGAGTCAATTCTCAAGTTTTCCAGCAGTTTTAGGAGATATCTTCTTTAATTAATAATTATTATCTTTAATAATTAAGTCAATGAATCCTATTATTAAAGCCTTCTGGAACAAGTCTGAATGTATCTTCAAATACTCATATATAGGTATACTTGCCAGCCATATTATTGTGTTACCCTATAGTACATAAAGTACGCTTATATATCAGATCATGACATAATAATTGATAAGAATTAATAAGTAAAATTAATTGAATTTTATAATTTCACCAAGACCCCAATATCACTGTAAGTATTAAAAAGAAAAATTCAGAAAACTAAGAAAAAAACCTTTCATTAGAAATTGTTAATATTTTAAGGTGGCCGCACCGAATTAAATAGATTAAAATAACCAAAAGAATTTTATAATTAATTTTAACTCAAGTTCAACAAAAAAACTGTAAAAGGGTTATAAACTTATTAATAATTTTCCATAAAATTTTTAATTAAAATTCAAAGCCAGTCGCATATTATGTAGATGTTTTTACCTTTTTGTTAATATTAAATACTCAAATATCAAATTGCTTAAAAATAACAATTCAGTAAATATTTATGTTACCGTTTTTGTGCTGTATATTGCCAAGTTTACATTCCATCGAATTTACGTTGACATTGCTGACATTTCCCAACCGAACAGGATATCATGCGAGCTAACACAATTATCTGCGTAGTTTGAGGAAAGGAGATGCTATTACTGCCAAAACACTGAAACTGAAGTTTGACGAAAGCTCTTCTCTTTCATGAAATCAATAAAGGTGTATTGTTGAACTTTTAGTTCATAAATTAATCGAGTTACCATAATTGGTATAAAAAACACAAAAATTTCACTTACTCTTAAGATTATTATTCAAGCTTTGTTCATTTTAAAATTTAAAAGTTGATCACTTTGTAGTCCATCGATTGGAAATTATTAGAGAATAAGAATAAGGCAACTTAAAATTACTGAAATTCTTTTTGTAAAATTTATAAACAGTTTATGAAGTATCAAAACTTTATTCAACCTCGTCTCAATAGTACTTTTACTAAGTGAATCTTAAAATTTGTACTTAAGTAGTTAGGAAGTAAATTTCTGATGTATTTTATAGCTTAGAAAACCTTGAATAATGTTTATTTAAAGATACTCTGACCTACTTCCTCTATAAAATTATGATGTTATAAAAAACGTTTATTTATAAAATATTAATGAGCCTCAACTCATCACCCACTTCTCAAAAATCCATCGTATTAAGCACCATATAAATTTCAACAATGGGATAGAATCCATAATATTTCAAATTTCATAAAATATTAAGCGGGTGACAAGTTGATTCAGCGAACTGTGAATAAATAATGATATTACATTTATTCGATGAAATCCGAGCTGATTTTAATAATAGATACAAATCGCATATCAGCAGTAAAATCCACAGCGTGGTGGTTTCGATATAATTAATATAGTGGTGTGTTCATTTAATTAGAAAATCGAAAAAAATTATTACATATTTGAAATATACCGAACGTTTTGTCTCAAACCTAGGACGTAGTAGATATGGATCATCAAATTGGATAGCGATCATCCGACGATATTTGCATGCATATCGTTCACATTCTGGTCTGCATACAAATTAGTTGGCGAGATCTATTCGAATAGTAGTGATCGAAACATGGTTAGTTGAAATTTCTAATTCGTTATAACTACGCACAAAAAGTTGTTTCCTATTGTGAAAGGTAATAAATGTTGGAATATTTGAATTTTTTTGCTACAACGATGGAAATATTTTTTTGTCCGTTTTAGAAAGTGGTTAACGTCAAATAGACAGTAGCTCTGGTTGAATGTTTTCGCCATTCAATTTTAACGTGTTGGAAACTCACAACATCACGTTTGAACTTGGTGTCCAATTTGTTTCATCCGACAAACTTGTGTACGTATAGTTTTATTTGTTATAACATATAGGCATTCACTATGTATGTCTTATACGAATATATGGTTTATAACAAACCTTTTTAACCATTAATGATGAAAGCGATAGCCAGTACATTTTCTTGGGTTTAAGGCTCAGTAGTTCATATTCATTTTTAGGATTCTAAGATTTTTGGTTGTTAAAGAAAAAGAAGCATTTTAAGCTTGTAGTTCAACTTCTCCTGCCATGCTCCGTCGAAGGTTTGCGCGACATACAGAAATATCGCTGAGCGATCCTTTCTTTCTTTTAGTGGCTTTTCGATTCTGTGGATCTGATCAATCGTAGAATGAATCATAATCACTTCAGACACCTTCCACAGCTCCGGCACATATTGTGACCGAAAGCTCATCTCAGGGTCCGGTTGGTTATAAGATCGAAACAAGAAGCTTTTCTTTTTGGGTGAATATTGGTCTTGATTTCCTCTATGACTTCAGCTGGAGAGGCGAGTGTTATTACGCTGCTTTCCTGTGACTTAAAGTTTTCTTTTTTAATATTTGTAATTTATAGAATTCAGTTTATGTTTATCATCTTCTTTTATATATACCAGGACAAGTTGAGTGTTTGACCATAAATATTTTTCCTGAATTATTTTTCTTATATCTTCATTTATAAAAATATTTCGAAACGATGTTTCTGCGCAATACTAATTTTATTAGGATGATTTAAAAATGCAAAAAAATCCAATTAATTTGTGAG